AGGTGGGGTTTGCACTCCCTGGGAGCTCTCCTGCCTCCTGCAAATGGTGCCATGGCTACGGTACCTGGGAAGGACAGTGTCCTCTTCTGAGTGAGCCAATAGCTTGGGAAAGAGTCCCCATCGCACATGCTACTCTCAAACCCTCTGCAAGGGGTGGTGTGACCTCTCCCCGAGGTGTGGCCCCTCCCCGAGTGTCCCTGATGGAGGTGTTCTGGGGTCACCAAGCACCACGAAGCACGTGGGAGCTGCCAGAGGGGGAAAGGCCCTGACCAGAGCCACCAGCTGGGGACGAAGGACCGACAGCACGGATGATTGGAAAGGATTTTCTAGCTAAATTGCTGAGCAGATGGATTTACCCTGGACTGGTCCTTGTGGACTCTGGAACATTTTCTCTTCTGTCACAGTTCCTTTTTATGACCTGCCATTTGCTCCAGCAAGCGAGAAGTGAGCCCTTGGCACGCAGCTCCTGCTCCAGCTGCGGTTCAGGAACACAGCGGCTTTGCTGCTGGGAGCCACGGCTCCTTTTCAGGAAAGTGCTGGGGCCTGGCAGGATGCCCCTGCCCACTCTGGCTCCCCGGGCTCATGGGGGCTGGCAGGGGCTGGAGGGGTGGGAAGGGGCAGCAGCGGCTGAGGCAGAAGAGCTGGCAGCGCCAGCATGGGGGCACATTGTGCCAGAGATGCAGCCACGGGTTTGTAACAGATTACAGTGACCACCTGCAGCGGGGGCATGTCCAGCAGGGCTCCAGATGGGAGGCTGTGGTGCAGGAGAAGTGTGAAGCCACATCCCAGCTTAGGAGATGCCTCTGTGGTGGCAGCATGGGCAGAGGGACAGTGGTGACTCTGGGGAGGGACTGGGTTTTCCCCTCGCTCTGCCATGAGTGCTTCCATGCAGTGATTCCATCATCAGCACTTCCACATGGTGATTCCTCCAGCTCTTTGGGCTTCTACTGTCCCAGCTGGTGACTGATACTTCTTTTTCTTAGAAGAAGGGGAAAGACAACACAATCTTACACCCAAAGCCCTTCCCCTTCCTCCAGCAGCATTCCTGCCATTTACATTAAAGGCTATAATGGGTTGGAGTAAATGGAGCAGGTTTGCAATTAGTTTTCCAAGTACTTATCTCATTAAAGTAAATGAATTATTGATTTAGTGACACTCATGCTTTTAGTGAGCAGCGCAGTGCCATCCCTGCTCCGTTGCTGGCTCCCCGCAGGCGGCCCTTGCACGCCTGCTCCCGTGAGCACACGCGTGTGGGCGCGTGGGCAGCGAGCGACCTTGGCTTTGGAGCCAACACTGCCACGCCAGGCAGGACAGCCGTGTCCGTGGGAGCAGGAATGTGCCTTTGTGAGGGACCCTGCTGAGCTGTGGGTGGGAGCAGACCCCGCAGGGAGGGATCTGCTGGGGACTTGCTGCCTGAGGGCTACGCCCTGGAATACTGCTGTGGACATGGCAGCTGTGCCAGGACACCTCCAGCCAGCCCATCTGTGCTGTGCAGAGGATGACAGGGGAAGGAGGAAGGCAGCTCACCCGTGCCACTGGTGCTTGGCTTGCTCTGGGTCTGTTAGTGCAGCACAGGGCTGGCATGGGGCTGGCAGGCAGTGTGAAGAGCTGCACGAGGCTCCTCCAGCCATCCCGGCACTTGCAAAGGTAGGGAACGGGGTGTGGGGGGTGCTCAGCAGTGACTGGCAGAGTGTGGATGCAGGAGGATGAAGCACTGACAGGCTGTGCTGGAGCCAAATGCTCACAGCTGAACCTGCCACCCCCGGCTAGCTGCTGATTCAGCACTTTTGCGCTCCTCTGTACTGAGATTTAATCTCTCCTGTAAGATAAAACACTCCATTAATGGAAACCTGCCTGCTCGGAGCTGCCCCTCGCCTCTGTCCAGGCGGGAAGGGCTGCGCTGTCCTGCTGAGGCTGTCCATGCTGGCAGAACAGCTACACACACTCCCTGCAGCTCCCATGCCCGTGTCTGAGGGTGCCACGAGGGGCTGGGGCAGGGATGCCAGGGGGATGCCAGGAGTGCCAGACTCCTCCGGCGGTGCCTGCTGTGCCAGCGGGTGCCCCGTGGCTCACGGCGGGTTCCACGAACGGCACTGAAAGCATTTTGATCTCCTCTCCAGCAGGAAGGAGGTGGTGATGCCACAGGAGCTGCAGTCACCGGGTGGGAGGAGGTGCCAGTGGCCAGCAGAAATTGCAGGAAGGATTTTGGCTGGGGGGGTTCACAGCTGTTACTCAGGTGGGGTTTGGTGGCCAGCGATGTTGGTGTGGGCTGTGCCGGGTGTGGCAGTGCCACACTCTCAGCTCTGCCCCCCGAGGGACCTGCACAAGAGCTGGTGCTCAGCCCCGTGCCAGGACCCTCCCAGCAGGGAGAGGCTTCCCAGAGTGGGGGCAGCACCATGTGTTGTCCCTGTCCCCAGGATGGGACCGCTCTTCCCAGACCGAAGCTGCTGTTTGGAGGGCTCTTCTGAGCAGTCCTAGAGCTGTCCTGCTGATGGCCCCTTACCCGTCCCACCAGGCTCCTCTGGGCCTCTCGTGTCTCAGCCTGGGCCTCTCGTGTCTCAGCTCCTGACCAGCAGTGTGGAACGGCCCTGGCTCGGCCCGAGGCAGAGCGGGATCGTGGGGAAATGCGTTCTGAGAGCTGCTGTGCAGGAGCCAGCCTCTGCCCCAGCCCCTGCCCCTCCTGCCCCTGCCTCCAACGCTGCTGGGAACGGGATGTTTTATATTCCTTAGCTGGGAAAAAAAAAATCCCTTCTCATTTAATTAAAAATGTTGACATTGTGCCTGGCTATCCCACCCGCCTGAGAAGGTGGTTATAAATTAAACATTAAACCTTTAATGGCCCATAAAGAAATTTTTGCTGCTGTTCTGTATATGGGGATATAAATAGAGAGGGTTGTGGGGGGAGGGGTGGGACATTATTGTTCCTCAGCCAGATAATCTTTGCTAATGAATTTAATTAAAAGCAAAATTAATTTAGGATTTTTTGGTGGAAGGAACAGGGTTAAAATGTACTTTGAGAAAGTACCAAGAAGTTTCCCAGCAGATCAGAGCCAGGCCTGCCTCGGTTGCAGCGTGGGCATAAGGGCTGATGAGGTGCAGCTTTAATGGGATCCGTGCAGCTGGGTGACACAGGCTGCATTTCTTGTCCAGAACCCCTGATTCTCATCCAGGTTTAGCTGGGCTGGGATCACCTGCTCTGGCAGCGGGTCCCTTTGAGGCTTTGCAAGATTCCAGGTAGAGTTGGTCAGTCTGGAGTGCTGCCAGAAAAGGAGAGACTGGACCAAGATCCCCCCTCCGATCCGGCCCAGAGCTGCTCCTGCCTCTCTCCCATCAATGCTGTGCCACGTGTTTCCCTCTCCGGCGTGGGCCTGTGTGGACAGGGAGGCTCTGGCTGAGCAGCCCACTCCATGTGTGCTGGGACCACCAGAGGTTTCTGCCTGGGCTGGAGCTGTGCTTGGTGAGTCCCTGTCTGTGCCAGCAAGCGTGGCACATCCCAGCTGAGGCGCACGCTGGCTGCGGGGCCCCACGGTGCTGTGGGGAGCTTCTCAGAAGACGCCTTTCTTGGGAAATGTGTTTGGGAAATGCAGCGTTACCCATCGCTGAGCCTCCCCCAGGAGTGCACAGTGTCAATTATTCATTGCAGAGCAGGCAGGCTGGGCTCCCAGCACTCCCAGCACTCCCAGCCCTGCTGCTGGAGCGCTCTGAGCTGCTGTGCCAACTCCAGCTCCCAGCCGGGATCTGGTGGGCGCTTCCTTGGTGAAGCCATGGCAGAGCTCAGGAGTGGTAGCTGGGGGCAGGAGGGTCTGCCAGGCCTGCAGGGGCAGGGGTGTCAGCACGCTGCTGGGAACCAGGGAGTTCCCAGGCATCTTTTTTAGGACACCCACGTCCCACAGCTGGGTCTGCCCTGGCCAGGCGGGAGGGGAGACCCCCGGCCTGGTGAACGCATTGTACTGGGTGAGAGTGTTTGGAGGGTTTTTATCATACGAGTGCTAATGGAAGTCAGCACCAGCCTAATGAGCTGTACTCCTCCATGAATCTGATTCATTGAGGCAGGAATTACCATAATTGATTATCCTGCTGCGTGGCTGAGAAGCGTGTTTGCTAACACGAGTGCCTGAGAGCGGTCTCTGTGCTTCCTGAGCCACCACCAGCGTGGCCTCCAGGCCGTCCGTGGGCCGTGTGCTCACCGGGACCGGCCGTGAGCTCAGGGCAGCGTCCAGGCACGGGGTCCCTGCACCCGCACTCGGGACCCTCATCTCGGGGTGCTGGCCCCGCAGTGGGGGCTCAGCAGCTCCAGAGCTGCTGGGCAGATGGGACTCAGCGCTTGCTGGCCTCCAAAGCAGCAGGTACAGACACACACAGCCCCTCCTCATCCTTTAGCCACTCCTGGGATGTATCAGCCATTCTCATTATTTCTGAGGGTCTAACGTGCTTGATGAATGTTTGCGTTGGCCATGCTGCAAAAGCCAATTAGTTGAAGTGCGTTTTCTTTGAAATTTGGCTTAATTTCCAAGAAGTGCCTAGAGCCAGGAGAGCAGCAAAGCCGTGTGCCTCAGGGATTGCTCCTCACAGGAGCGTGTCACTGCTGCTGTGGGCAGAAGGCTTGAGATGCACCAGCCCAGATGTGCAGCCAGCGCTTGGATGACACTGTGCCCTGTCCCACCCCGTGGGGGTTTGTGGGGCTGTGCTTGCAGGGTTCTGGGGAAGCCCAGGAAGGGGCTTGTGGTCTGTGGGAGCTGGTTGGGTTCGAGGTGCACTGGTGGAGCTAAAGGGGGGGTTCCTGCACCCATCACCCTGGGCATGGTGCTGGTGGGTGCTGATGATGCTTGGCTGCCCTGGGCTCCTTGCCAGCACAGGCTTCCCAGTGCCCGGGAATAACACTCACGTCCCTGCTCATATCCCAACACTGTGCAGTCGATGAGCAGACAGCATTGACTGTAACAGGTTAGTGATGATGATCATTGATTTTAATTCTTCCTCCTCTTCCCTGTCTTTTCTAGAGAGCCCAGTGCAAACGCCGCGGGAGGAGCTGGGCTGAATAAAAGGTATGGAGGGTTCGGATCCCAGCGGCTGCATTGGGCTCTGCCTTGGCTGCTCCTGGGGTCCGTCCCGCACGCTAAACCTGCATGTGTGGGGCTGGCAGTGGGGGCTTGGCGCGGGGCCGACCAGGGCAGGGCAGCACCCTCAGCCTGTGGCTCAGGGATCAGGCAGGGGCTGGTGGGCACAGAGCTGTGCTCGGGGCAGGGATGGGAGGAAGGCTGCCCCCTCCCCTCTGCCAGCAGCCCCCGGCTTCCCCCACACAGGTGTGACATGAATCCTGCATGAGGAGAGCTGAGACTGATGTGTCTGTGAGTGTCCATGTGTGCTGACTTGCTGTCTGTCCATACTCTGCGGCTCCCAGGAGCCATCCCTGGAGGAGCCAGGGTCTTTGTCCTTACTGGGGGCAAAGAGCAGCCCACAGCCCCATTCTGACCCTGACCTGGCAGTTGCCCACCACAGGATGTTTGTCCCCAGGGTTCTGGGAAGCATCACAACAGCTCACAGTGTTCCCAGGCTGAGGCAGGTCATGGTTGATGTGTGTGAAAGGTGGACCAGAGCAGGTGCCCTCTGCCAGCCTGGTGCCTGCTGGTCAGGTGTGCATGGCTCCTTCCTGCCCCACCCTCATATTACTGGACTTTGCAGCAGTAGGAGGACCCCATCAGAGAGGGGACATTGCATCCTCCCAAGGCCCATCCCACTGAGTACAGTGCTCCCCCGTCAAAGCCAGTGAAGCAGAGGAGCAAAGAAAGCTGAGGGGCTGGAGAGGATGAGTGTGGTGGATCCATAGCTCTGGGCCCTGGCATGGGCTGGGGGTGCCAGTGGGACCAGGGGGTGATGGGGGCCAGGGCAGTGGCACTGTGCTAGAGGAGCTGCCCACATGCAGAACATTGAAGAGGTGTCTGGCAGAGGAACACTCCCATCCTTGGCACATACAGGACAAGGAGGGAGGCGACCTGCTGGGAGGGGATTGTGGTCTGGAAAGGTCCTGAGATCCCATGGGAGATGTGGAAAAAGAGCTGCTAGAAGGAGCAGGAAGGCTGGGTGGGAGCAGGGCTTGCAGGGAGCCAGGATGAACGGGAGGGAGGAAGGCTGGGCTGTGGCTGTGGGCCTGGGGAACATGTGCCGGTCAGCCACAGGGGGAGGGCTGTGGGGCCAGGGCTGCCCTCGCCCGTGTGCCTGCTGATGTCCTGGTGGTTCACTCGCTGTGCTGAGGAGGGGCTTTGCTCCCTCCCAGTGCCCTGCTGTGTGTGGGGTCAGAGGGCACCGGTCAGCCCTGGGGCTGCGGCGGGCTGTGGCCACTGGTTGTGTCCAGAGGAGGGGAGGGCAGCGGAATGGGTGTTCTGCAGCTCAGCTGCCCCATGCCTGCTCTGGCTGAGAGGTCTGGGATCTGGCACAGGGATGTGTATGCGGGTGTGGGGGGGCTGCAGTGAGAGAAGGTGGAATGGTGCTGGGAAGACATCTAGGGAGGTGCTCCTGCTGCTGTCCCTGCCCAGTGACCCCCCAGGTTTTGTCTGCTGGTGATGGAGGGGTTTCATTGTGCTGCACTGGGCCCCTCTGTCTGTCCCATCAGGGACAGCAGCGTTGGGGGTCTGGCAGGCTGGGGGAGGATCCAAAGTTCACAGCTGGGGCTGCATTTACAGGGCAACAGAGAGGAAAGGGTTTGGATCACTGAGATATAAGAGGGAACAGGGAGCCCCCCGCCCCAGCTGCCTGCAGTAGTGCCTCTGCTGCTTTATCACCCTCTCCTGGTGCTGAATTATTGAGAGTGTTGCTCTCGTTTATTGCCGTGCTGGAGGAGAGCTGCTTCCATCCCTTTGCTGCTCTGAATATGATTATGGGGCTGTAGATGTCAGAACCAGCTGGGCTCTGGAGACCAATCTGCTGCCCCCCTCACTCCTCTGCTTCCCTTATCCTTATTTATTCCCTCACTACCACTCCTGGTTCAGCGCTCATGGTCCCCTTGCTCCTTCCACTGCGTGCCCCTGGAGGACGGAGATTTAGTGCCTGAGGAGCAGCACTGCCTGGCTGCCAAGCCTGCACTGTGCCAGGGGCAGCTGGGGCTTGTGTGCAGGACCCCCTGCCCTATCCCCAGGGCCCAGGCCGTGTGCAGCCCTTCGCTGTGCCCTCTGTCCCTTCCTGCTGCTCTCTCCCAGTATCTGCTGGGGGGGCAGTGCTGGGGCTCAAGGAGGGAGTGGCTGCCCTGGAGCTGGTTGGGATTTCTGGGTGCCCTCTCGTGCAGTCCATGGTGGCCACCTCCCGGGCTCCAAGGACTGTCCCCATGGCTCCCCATTGCACTTGGGGGCTGGGGGCTGCTGCCGCCGTCTCCCTCAGGCTGCTGCTCGGCTTCCCCAAAAACAAGAGGATGCTGGGCCTCCCGGGACAGATCCTCCCAGGTGGAGCACGGCTGAGCATCCCTGCCGGCCAGACCCAGCGATGGGAGCAGGGGGTTCTGGCATCCACAGCGGCTGGGAGCCGGCTGGCACCTCGCAGGTTAACTGTGAGCGGCGGATTCCCTTATTGACAGGGTAGCTTGAAAAATGCTGAGGCAGGACATCGGCTCCTCGGAGTGTCAGCGGGAGCCCACGCTGCGCCAGCGAGCGCCCACACTGCCGCTGCCGTGGCCCCGAGCACCCAGCCCGGTCCCGGACCCTCTCCCCAGCACCCCACTCAGCCCTGGGGCTCACCTTTCCCTTTGATCCTCGAAGACACCGGAGAGGATTTAATTTTTTTCTTCCTCTCCCATTTTTCCCCGGGTGGGTAAGGCGCTGCGCAGGAGCTGCCCCGGCTGTCCGGCCCCCGCGCTGCCCCAGCGGCGTGCCAGGGGCTGGACCCGGCTCCGAGCGGCTCCGAGCGCTCACCGCCGGCCCTCGGCGCCGGAGCCGGACAGCCCAAGGGGACAGAGCCACCCCGGAGGAGCGGTGGCCGCGCCGGGAGCAGCCCATCGCCCTCCCAGCGAGCCCCGCAGAGCGCCTCAGCCCCCGCCGCTGACTGATGATGTATTTTTGGGTAGGTACCGCTGCCAAGGGTGGGCACTTCCCTCCCTGTCTGCTGAGGTTTCGCTCAGGATTGGGGTGCTTTTGCCCTCCCTGGCCGTGCCACCGTCCAGGGAGAGCTTCCCCCTGTGGTCAGCCACGCAGTGCCCAGCACTGGCAGCAGCAGGCAGGGGCTGGGCTGCGCTGCTGGGGACAGGCCTGGCGTTGGGAAGGACCAGGGCAGCGGGCAGGGGTCCCTGCCTGGGCATCCCCAGCTGCCCTCCTGCTTCTGCACTGCCCTGTCCAGGCTCCGTGTGGTGCTGGCCGTGGGCAGAAGCTGCCTCCCCTGCCCAGCACCAAACCCCTGCTCCAGCTGTACTGGGGGGTCACTGGTGGGCTCTGGCTCCTGCCCGGGGGCTGTCCTGGGAGGGGGCACGGGTCTGTGCTGAGAGTGGGACATTCAGGTGACAACTCTGTGTGGAGCAGCAGCTCCCTCTCACAGTGCCCACCCAGGATCTTGACAGATGCTTATGGGGCAGCCTCCACATTGTATCCCAGACCTGAAATTCCTGAGGTTACTGAGAGAATCCTACCATGGGGACCCTGAGCTCCCTGAGATCCCCTTGTGGACCCCAAAGTCCCTCCACAGCAGTCCCTGCTCAGGGGTTTTGAGGCTTGGGGGGATCGTACCCTACTGAGCCCAGAGCGAGGGGCATGGCTGGGGAGTGGGCTGGGCACAGGGGCTCAGCTCTCCCTGCTCTAGCAGAGCACAAGGCCATGCCTGGACAGGGGACACGCTGAGACCTACCCAAACATCTCAGAGCTTGGTGGAGGGATGGAGAGGAGGGGACGGGACAGGGTCTGCCCAGGCCCTTTTCTTGGGCTGGACACTCAGTGTGGGTGTGAGCCCCAGTCTGGGTGCGGCTGGGACAGTGAGCAGAGGAGCTGGAGACAGCAGTGCCCCATGGAGCTCCACTCCCCAGAGCTGCAGGAGCTGGGCTGTATCAGGCTCTGCACCACCAGAGGGTCTTCCCATGGCATCCCAGCCTACCAACTGGGGCTGCAAGCACGTGGTACCTGCTCCTTCCACCTGCTCCCTCCTGCTCCCTCCGAGGTGGTGAGGGGCAGGGGCAGCAGCAGTCTGGTGGGGCTTACATGCTCCAGGGAGTTGTGCTCTCCTGCATTTGGGAGCAGGGAACAGAGTGGGCAGAAGCAGGCAAAGGGAGATGTGGGGAAAGGAGCTTATGGGGAGGAGGAAGAAGATACTGGGAATTCATTTTTTCTCAGGAAGCAGTTTTCAGGTGTAAGGTGCTTTGTCATGAGGGATGTCGGCGCTGCCACGGCTCCAGCGCCTGTCAGGGCTGGCACAGCCTCCTGCCTCGGTGCTAATTCTGCCCGGGGACTGAATAACCCACCACAGCTGCGAGAGCAAAGCAGAGCTGTGTGGCTTTGCAGAGCTTGGCCTCGCAGGCACGGGCAGCGTGGGGTGCCCGTTCCCACGGAGCTCCAGGCACGCCGCACTGCCTGTGGGGCAGTGGCACTCCAGGGTCTCTGTTCCCTGTCCCGTGAGCTGCACAGAGCCAGGCAGCCCGGGACGGCCGGTCCCAGCACTGCATGGTGGCATCCCAGCTCTGCTGGAGGGGCAGGGCGAGGGCTGTGCTCCCGGCAGAGCGGTGAGAGTCATTTCTTGGCATCGTGGGCATCTATCCGTCGCAGCGTGGGAGGAAGCAGAGGGTCTGGTATCCCTGTGTGACAGGAGCACTGTGGTGGCTCTGTCATCAACACCTCAAGGGGCCGAGATGCCAAAGCAAAATGTCTTCAAAATAACAGTACTTCCAGATAAATTAGGTGCGTGTGGGGCAAGGGGAAGAAGGGGTCTATAAATACTCAGATTTATAAAGTGTGCCCTGGGTCACAGCACCTGTTTAACACTAGCATCCTCTCTGTGCATTTAAAAAATCTTATGAGGATGGAGTGTTTGCTTCTGGAGTACCTCCAGCCTGGTGTTCCCCTGTGCCCACCTCACCTGTCTG